GTCCCCTTTTTTTTTTTTTTTTTTGGCAAGTTATATTACCTGTGATCTGCTACAAGAAACTTGGAGTAGCCTCCATAAGTGATGCTACCATCCCAAAAAATGCCATTGTAGGTAAACTGAAGTTGGTCGCAGTAGTTCTCTTGTCCATCCTTGCAGTACTCACAGTTCAAGCATGATGCTGCCAAGCACCCTACTCCTGCCCTATCGCCTACCTTAAAATTGGACACATTGCAGCCCACCTCCGTTATAATCCCGGTAATTTCATGGCTGAAACATATTATAAGAACAGATTCAATAATATCGTATTTCTGCTTTCTGAACAAGACAAGCATGTGAGTATGTGACAATTTGTGACATGTTCGACAATAACCTTATAGCACCCACACTTTTACAGCTTGATAATGTTATATAGCACTACTACGGTATATATTGACTCTATTGTCACTAAACTTGTGTTAAGAACGACTAAAAACTCTTTAATAAAAAGTTATGTGGATTACCCTGGTACAATAGGGTACATAGTGGTGCCCCAATCGTCCCTGGCTTGGTGGAGATCAGTGTGGCATATCCCACAGTAAAGAATTTCAATGGTTACATCATTGACCCCATTTTCTCTGAGTATTACACAAAAATTGCTAGAATCAGCAAATATTGTCAACTTAAAAGCAAGTCTATAATATACCAACAATCCTGCTAATGAACAGGGCTGGTTGACAATACTTTTGACAGATTGTCAACTGTCAAAATTTAATTGGATATTGGACAAAAAACACGGTTCAACCAATCAATACAGTAATGTCACCTGTACATCTATACAAGGAGCTTAATTCATATACTGATACCTGCGCTTGAAGGTGTAAGGTGTGATGTTGCCAGAGGAGTCGTGAGCAGCCCACCCAGAAACAGTCAGCTTGTGGTTTGGAGTAGTCTGAGCCATCACACAAACTCGCACTCTATAGATAGAAAGAGAGAGAGAGAGGAGGAGTTGTGGGAACTCTTAAAAGTCTTGACTGCGGCGAAATTAACTGACCGTTTTATACTTGGGGAATAATTGTTTTAAGAAACAAGTTGCACATTTTTTTTTGTTTTTTTGAACCGCCCACAAGTTGCACATTGGAGAGTCATAATGAAAACGAGCTATTTATTAATAAATAATATTTTTATTGACTAAAATTAAAAATAAGTAAATTGCAGATGAGGATACGTTAAGGTGGTAGGATTGTGATGCACGAATGATTCATTCAATGGAATTTTGAAAAATTAAAAGTTGCTTCTAAAATTAAAAATTTATTTTTCAACATATTTAGCCTATGTTTGTCATTTTTTAACAAATTAAATTGTTTGTTACAATAACATTC